AGCCCAGACCCTGCCTGTAGGAGCGAGTTTCATCTGTTACATCAATACAGCTGCAGCAACAGGTAACTATTGCACTCAGTGCTGTAAAATAGCTCCCATGTGGCTTTTCTTACCAAGCCTTCACTACCAAAAGAGGTGTGACTTTTTTTTTTTTTTTTTTATGGGCAGATAGCTAATAAGTGGTAACTATTTTCCTGTAAAATCTGGGGGTGATGAGACTCCAGACCCAAAGGCAGCATTGCTGGGTGAGAGTAGCCATGGGTCACTTGGCACTGGCTAAGGGAAATGGTTCAGTCCCTGTGGTTATTTCAGACTCACCATTACTCTTTACTTGCTGAGTAACTTAAAATCCTGTCTCAGCACTTGTTCTGCTCGTGCCTAGGACCTGCCCTGGAACATTCATCCCAGCCTGTGGCCAGCAGAAATTTCTAGTTCAGCCTGCCCTTCCTCAGTTGAGGGGACTGTCTCCTCAGCAAGCAGAGCTGGCTGTGTTTTGCAGAGCATCATCAGCCCAGGCTGGTGCAAACCCAGGCTCATTTATCATCGGGGGCTGTGATGGATGAGGTGATGTGAATTGGTGGCTTTGCTCCATTAGTGTTGGAACCAACTGATCTCCTTGCTGGCAGCCCCAGCTGGAAAGACTCTTGGTGGCCTGTGGCACCTTTCCTTTTTGGAGAAGGCCTCTGTCCTTCAGAGGGACTGTGAGCAATCAGCACAGTGACCTCGGAGATTTTGCTGCCTCTGCTTCCTGGAGCTTTGCTGCTGTGCCAGGGCTCAGGGGAGACTCCAATTCCTGCAGTGAGGCTGACTCAGCTCGCTGGGGACAGTGCCCAGGACCCCCGGGCAGGGCAGGCAGATCCCACAGCTACTTTGCAGCCTGGGATTTGCGTGTCTGCAGAGCGGCTGCTTTGCAGCACCGAGTTATTTGCATTTGTGTGGGGTTTTTTTCTGCCCCAGATCCCACAGAGGAGCTGCTGCCTCTCACGCAGCTCAGCCCAGGCTGGCTCACTCCTGCAGCTCACCTGGTGCTTGCCACAGATTCGAGTTAAAGTTAGCCCTGGCTTTTAAGGTCTATTCCAACCCATTTAACTCCTCGGCTTTGTGTGGAAAACAAATGGGAAATATAAAAGCTTACATCAGCTCCTGCAAGTCGCAAAGTGAATGGGAAAGCTGCAATAAATTTACAGTCAGAAAAAGAACTGTGTGTAAACTCCCACTTTGTTCAAAGACAGTTTATTATCAAAGTATAATTTTAGGTGACAGTTGTTGCTGGGGTATTTTGTGCTTTTTTAAAATTATTACTACTTTTTAGTTCTACAGCGTAATTCTTGAGCAGATACTCAAACAAGCGAGATTGGCTCATCATTCCTCTTTAATTCCACATCATGTCACTTTGGAAGGGAAATGGCTTGGTAAAAGCCAGAGAGTTCAGATACGATGCTGGCAGATCGTTATGAAATATTCACAAGACATTTAGTTTAACTTGGTGCTAATTGAACACTGACAGCACAAGTTACTCCTGCCTGCAGCAATAGTCTATCACGTTTAGGCAAGTGGCATTCCTTCCCCTTTGATGCTCTCCGAGACTGGAGGCTGTCAGGGAGCACAGTTAACAACCAGTAAACACTCGGGGAGCAGCCCTGGAGAGGATCCTGCACGGAGAATCCTCCAAAAAGTGGAGAGAGTTTATTAAAACAGGGGTTGTGACAAGGTTTCCACTTTGTCTGTGAAAATAGTATCAGGTGAGGGGTGACTCTAAATCATACAGTTTGTTGTTTTGTTTCTTTTAAATATCCTCCTGAGTGAAGACACTTAAAAGCAAGGCTCTTTGCAGACCACCTAATTTCTGAGGCCATGGCCCAAAAGGCCTCCTTGCCCTGAGATGAGACGTTTCCAGGGCAGTCGTAGCTGTACTGGTGTAACTCTGTTTTCTATAGAGACATGGCCTTGTTTGCTTCTTTCCTCTTTATTTCTATAGCTCAACATGCTGTTTGCTTGTATTTGTGAATTTGTTTCTTATTTGTCAGGTCAGCTTCACCATGGACATTTAATAAGAGGAATTTTCCTACATTTTTAATTGTCTCTTATTCCAGAGCCAAGCAGAGTTTGAAGCAGATACTAATACCATTATTTTAATCATCAGACATGACGTGTGGTCTAAATAACTTGGATAAAACTCAGTGCCCAGCTTTGCCTGAAAACCCTCTGGCCATCTGTGGCTGAGACAGTCATCTGGCTTGGGTGCCTCAGTTTCCCAGCTGTGGAGAAAGGCCAGGTTGTTACTCAAGGACTTTTCTCATCTTCCCACTCGGAGGGGTTTGCTGCAGGCTCCTCCTGTGTGCCAGCACAGGGGGTACCCAGCAGGAATGTGCAGGAGCAGCTGCCTCAGCAGGGACCCTGCTCTGCAGCCCGTGCCAAGCACATTTTGTCACTCTCTGTGTGGCTGAAGGATTGAGTGACTTCCATGGGCAGCAAAATATTAGAGAAGTGACCCAGAATATTTTTAATCTCCCAGGAGAAATGTCCCTGTCTGCCTAACTCACCTGTCCCAGGGAGTTAAACTGGAGAGGAGTCACATATGAGGTGTTAATGAAACTGTCACTGAGTACTGCGGTGACAGTGGCTGCGATTTCAGGAGTCCCTCTAGCAAATGAGGTGGTGACTGAGCCCTTGGTGGGTGCAGAAAGGCAGTCAGAGATGCCTTGTGAAGGCTGGACAGACTTAAAGAATGAAATAGGCATTTATTAAAAGGATCTCCTCCATGGATGCACCTTGGGCAGCACAAGAGCCCAGCCAGGGCTGCACCCAAGATGAACCAGAATGGCCCCAAAATGCACGGGCGGGCACGGGGTCTGTCCCTGGGATCGGTTCTGCTCCATATTGCAGTTTATTGTCCAATTACAGCTCCAGCCCATGAAGTCCCATCCTTGTTTTTCTCTCTGCAGCCCACGGTGTTTGTGCTCTGGGCTGAGATTTGGGTCATTTGTCCTTGGTGCCCAGCTGGAGCAGGAATTGTTTTGTCTCCCTGCCCTGTGCACAGAGCTCACCATCCCCTCATATGAAGCTCAGACCCACACACTAAAGCAGCACAGAATCTGAAAATATAAAAGCTAAACCTGAGGCATCACAGCAGTGCAGCCACCATGTCTGACCAAAGCAGCAGTAGTACAACTGGTAGTAACCATCTAAGAGCTCCAGCAGCTTGGAGTAAATTCCCAAATTCAGTGCTTGTACAAATGCAGGGGAAATGGGCATCTCCTTCCCCATAGCTGATGGGAACTACAAATGAGTGTGAACAACTGATGGGAATCTACAAATGGGTGTAAACAGCCAAGGAATAGGAGTTAAAATGTGAGGAATATTGCACAGGCAGCAGTCACAGCACACACTGGTGCTGAAGCTGGTTTTTTCCCTTTTAAACAGAAATTATTGGAAATGGGGAGTGCTAAGAAAGGATTTAAAGGAGGTATCTCTGGTTTCTTCAAAGCTTGGGGTAGGGTGGAAGGTGAAGGATGGTTTCTGAGCTGGACAGACTGGAACCAGCAGCTGAGGCCGCTGCTGGGGTGATCCCCACTCCCCTTGTCTCCAGTGGCAGTCATGGTGAAATAGGGATCACCCCAGAAGAGCTTCTGAGGTGGGGGACACCCTCTGGGATTGCAGAGAGGAGGGACCAGGGAAATTTAAGCAACTAAGGAAAACATAATTTCTTTAACAGAAGGGTTTTTCATGCCAAGCAGATTCTAGATATAAGGTCATGGCTGAGCTGAAGGCCACAGAAAGGAGCTTTCCTGCCCTGGAGTTTTACACGAGTTGGTTGTGGCTGTAGATAATGATCTGCTGGGAAAACACACCTTGCTTTCAACAAAAACACATTTTCAAAAGCCAAGGATGCAACACTGGACTAAAAGAGCTTCCAGGCTTCCTTTCCATAGACCCCCCCACCCCTGGATTGTTGAAAATCACTCTCCCAGTGATGCTGTCCTTGGGAGGGCTGAATAAACCAACAGTCCCCCTCTGCAGAGAGGCAGCAGCAGAGGGAGGAACATGAAATGTCACATCTTCCCCAGAGTCCTGCTCCAACTGGCTTCCATAAGCATTGCTCCTCAGGAGGGAAAACAAATGAGGCTTTCAAAACTGTTTTACTTAATTCATTTCATTCTGGGCCACAGCAAGGCAAATAGACAGTGGGAGGACTACACTGATAAAGTTTTTTTGGTTTTTTTTCAAAAGCTGAGAATACCAGAAGATAACACAACAGCAAATTAATGCATATTTTAAACCCTTGTAGCTAAACATTCCCTTTTGGGGCTGCGCCAGGTATCTCGTGGTGCCAGTGAAAATGGGATACAGATGTTCACTTGTTTGGATGGAGACACTGCAATAATTCATGCCTGCTACAAATGATCAGCTGCCTCGTGCTCACAAAAAAATACTCTGATCTTTTTGTCAGGAATAAGGAAATATAACCCCTGTACCTATCTTAAGGAAAATAAGGACTGTAAGAACCGTGAAATGTGTTTTTCAGTTTTCAAAATGTAATTTCTGTTGTAGCAGCACAGGCTGTGCTGGTAAAAGTGCAACCAGCCCGATTCCAGTCCAAGGATGTCCTCAGCCAAGGGGAATGAGTGTCTGGGACAGGTATATGGACCATTAAAATACCTGATGTGAAATGTGTATTCACAGAGGAGCTTTGGGATGCTGTTCCTGACACCTTTTTCTTTGTTTCCTTTTTCACAACTTCAGCTTTAAATATTTGAGTCTTTTTGTAGGATGAATTTAGGTGGTTTTAACATGTTTTACCTCTGACTTTGAACTGGCTTGTGGTGAAAGCAACCTCAGTAAGAGTGCTCAGGAATGTGGTGTGTCTGTTTTAATGGCCATGATGGAAAAAGGAGCTGCATCCCCCAAAACCACCCAGGAATGTGAGGAGAAAAGCTGAGCCCATCAGGCTGCAGCACAGCAGCAGGGCTGACACTCACCTTCTGCTTTTCCATGTACAGCAGAGCCCTGCAAAGCTGGCAGCTGCCAGAAGGATTTGTTCCATCCCTGAATACCTGCACCGCTGCTTCCCCCCGTGCTGCTGTCAGCAGAGGAACAAACAGGTTCACACCTGCTGCATAGCTGGCCTTGGAGGAATGCATGTGCAAATTTGGCAGGTAGGAATGGCTCCCTTCAAATCACTTCTTGAAATAGGAGCTCTCTGCTTTTCCCGCCTGCTGTTCTATTTTTCACTTTCTTCTTGCAGTGCCCATATTAAAATGAAGATTTTTATAACTTTTTATTAATTCATTTTCATGGTGGGGCTGTAACCAAATCCAAACTGGCACTTCTGAGAATCCAGCCCCAATGGTGTATGAGGGTTTTAAAGGTGTGCACAGTTTTTATTCTCACTTGCCCAATTTATTTTTTTCTTGGTAATTTTTGTTATGTGGATTTGGACCTGACACAACTGGCATCATCTGGGATGTAATAACTTTTTCTGCTGGTTTATCTGGGAGTTGTTTAACCTTTTGCTTACCTTTCTCAAGTTGTAGACTGACTTCTAATTGAAAAATCCCATTTAGAATCAAAACCCACTGAAAATCTTTGGATTCAGTGCACTGAAATGCAATGCTTTATTTCCCTATTTTTTCAACTGTTTTTCTTGGCTTAAATGACTCACCAGATTTTTTTTTTCCAATTTAATGAAAAGTTTTGGCATTCTGAAAGGGCATTTTTTGCAGGAATAACTGTTAACTCATTGTTTTTTCCTGTTACTGTTTACTACATTGGGATTGTAGTTTTTCACATCAGTGCAGACCATGGACAACCCCAGCTGGGCATACACACAAACACACACACACATATATATATATATATATATATGCGCAGACTATTCAAAACTTTCCAAGGGAATTGTGGATCCCCGGATAGAAAATTTCTCTCTCTCTAACAGCTGAATACCTTTTCTCATTTCTCTGTGGACTCCTCGAAGTCCCCAGCCCCCAGAAGTTCACAGAGCACAGCTAAAAACTGTTTTCAGGTTCATTCCCACTTGCTCACAGAATGTAGTAGCTCAGCCAAGACGTGCTGCCCCACTGGTGTTGCTTCACTGGAGCAAGTCACAGCCAGAAATAAAGGCAGGGGCTATTTTTTTCTTCTCTAAGTATGTTCAAAACATGAATTTCCATGAGTTTCCAACATAAGACCTATATCTGCATGGTAAGTAGAGTCACTTTCACTTGCAAATGAGGTTGGATCTGCTAAAAAATCTGCTAATTTGCAATAAAAATAGCATCCATCTTTGCTCTGCAAATATAGTCTCTTTGAAAACTGTCCCATTTTCAGAACTGCAGCAGCTTGTAGGATGGGAGAAAGGGGAAGGAGGAAATACCTTACATTTGAAGTCACTTTGTGTTTCTCCAGGACTATTTCACACACCTTTAGTCATTATGCTGCGTTTTGTGTTGTCACATTAATTTTCACAGTAACAGACTGATAGAAACAGTGTGACTGCACTGCAGAAGCAAGAGAAGCTGGATTGATTGGGAGGGAGAAGGATTTGTTCAGACATAAATATCTCCTGCCATATTGAGGGGAGTTTAAAAAAAATGGCCAGCCAAGAAATTGCTTTTTTGTAGGAACGTTCTGTTTCTCTCTTTTTCCTATTTTTTCCCCTTTTAATACATGCTTTAATGTGAGAGACCAAGAGGAAAGCAAGTGGCTATTTAATGAGTCTGAGGTGGTGGATCCAAGAGCTCTTTCAGAGGGTGAGGAATGGGAGACAAGGAGGGTGAAGGGCTGTGTGGAAGATGGTATTAAATAAGGAGGCCTGGTCATGTAAGGTCTTGTTGGGGAAACTGCTGACTTTTTGCAGGTTAAATGCTTGAAGGAATTGCAGAGTCAGGCTCCTGGAAAATGAGGGCACACACCAAAAAATCAGCACCTCAGCACAGGAGCAGGTGAGAAGATCAGGTGCAGAGAGGTAAGCCAGTGCAAAGCCTTTTATCCCACTCTTCCTGCAGCTCAGGAAGGATGCAGAGATTGCAGAGGGGAGCAGTATTGCTGTCCCTGCACAGCAGCACCTACCTGGCCACCAATTTATCCCCTGGGATGGGTTCCCTGTGCAGCTCTGCCCAGGCTTTGAGAAAGCTGTTCCAGCACTCACATCTGCTGGCTTGGCAATGCTTTTGCCCTGCCAGGGCCAGTGGGATGGCTTGCAGTGCAGGCTGGAAGCATTCCCTGGGCTCCCATGGCTTTTCCTTTGAGGGAGGAGCTGAGAGATGCCTCAGCTTTGAAGCTGAGTTCTCTGCTGGCACTTGTCACTCCTTGAGTATTCTGGGCTGGAGCTTGTGCTCTGGTGTAAGAAAATAAATCCGCCTCTGAGGAGGCTGGAAGAAAAGTCCCAGTATCTGATCAGAGGTTTTGCTGTTAAGGATGGGATCAGTTGCAGCTCTAGGAATGCCTTATTCCTCACACTTCTCCTGTGCTAAGGACAGCTGGGATGGGTCACACTGTCCCTTGTGCAGCATCTGAGCCCTCAATGAGGTTTCCACTTGATATGTCCAAGTTTCTAACACCAAAAGCCTTGGGTGGAAACTTGCTTGTGTCTGGCTGGTTGGCAGCAGGCAAAACTCTTCAAGGAAGAACAGCTAATTGCATATTCATAATGGCACATACTTGAGAAAAGCCCTTAATTTCTGCTGTGGTGGATCTGGAAATTCACCCCTGTCCATGCTCAGCAACATCCACCCTCAGCCTCTGAAGAATGTGGATCAAGCAGAGCTTTTTGGCCCTTCTCCTCTGAGAAAGAACCACTAATTTCTTCAGTTGGAGCACATTATTTTTTTAACAAAAGAGCATGATACAGCTCTATACACCAGTTGGAAGCAATGTGATTTGTGTCATGAATACTAATATGCATTTGATGGTATCCTATAAATTCAACACGTTCAGAAGAGCGTTAACAAGAGTTGTAGGAACCATACTTAAATTCTTCCCCTACTTTTTTTGTCAATTAAAGGAAAAGGAAGCTAGTGAGAGTCTGCATTTGTATCCAAAACAAATATGGCTTGGGTCACGACAAGACTTCTGCACGCCGTGCTAGACCTGGGTCTACAGCACATGCATTGATTTTTGTCTCCATGAATCACCCTAAAGCTATAGGCAACAAAAGCTGAAACTATGTAGATGTGATTTCTAGTTCATTTGTTGTTCATTAGAAAGATTTTGTCTCTCTCATTTGCAGCACCCCTGCTGCTGCGTGTTCATTAGGAGAATGGAACGTATTCCAAATATTTCCTAGCTCTGGCAGGGCAGATGGTGGAAAGTAATTTTCCAAACTCTTCTGGAAAAGGATGGGGCGGGGGTAGGGGGGGGGGAACACACCCAAATAACCCCAAGTCACCCCCTGCACGCCAGAAGAATTTGGTATTTCTGAGTGCAGACGTGCCGTACACTCTTTGTCTCTCTGGTTGTACAGTGCAGCATGTCGGAGTGGTGGGAAGTGTGTATGAATGGAAATGTATCACATTACATGTGGGATGTTAGCAAGGCTGGGATTTTTTTTCACAGGAAACTGCATTTGCAAAGAGCACACAGCAACACGCAGTACCCTAAAAGATGTGTGTGAAGGAGTGAGCAGGATTCATTTCCCTAAATCTTCTGGGCAACCCAATGCCTGAGGGAATCCCAGGGAGGGAGGACAGAGCCTGGGCCCCACTCCAGTTTCCCAGTCCAGCGCTGTGCAGAGGCGTGAGGCAAACTGGAAGCTCCTCAGACACCCCATCCCCAGTGCCTGGCCTAGCAGGAGGATGTCCCAGCGCTCAGACAATGGTGGAGGAAGCGGCTCTGGCTGCATTTCCCTCCTGCTCCCTGGGGAGCCGGGGCAGCACACACAGGGCAGGGCCACATTTAGCTCTTGGATCCACATGAAACACCTCTGAGCCGACTGCTCCCTTCCTCCCTCACGGGATGGAAGTGGCGCTCACAGGGGAACAGAGGGGCCAGGCCCGAGAGCGGCAGCAGGGCCGGGAGCACAATGAGGGGGAAACAAAGAGCGGGGCTGTGTTTGCTGCCTTCCCAGGGCCATTCACTTCTCCTCTAGGAGCCTGTTTCCTCTTTTCAGGAGCCTCTTGACCTGCAGCTCCCTCTCCTCAGCTCAGAGCCCAAAGCCCCGTGGCTGGATCCTAATGCCTCTTCAGATCAAACCCGGAGCACAGAGCCCGGGCTGTGTGTTTGCAGCCAGGCTTTAAGCTCCTTGGTGCTGGCACCGAGGGCTCCTGTTTGTTTTCCAACTCCTGGGGACAGCAATGGCGCTCTCAAAGTCAATACAAACAAACCAGCAGAGGCTTCAGGCAGTGCAGCAGAGCTTATCCATGGGCTGCCATCCCTGGGACTGGGCTGTGCTGATGGAAGGTGCCTCCAGCGCTGACCTGGGCTGCCAGCTCAGGCCTGCGTGCCCCAAATCTCACACAAAGAAACCTGGCAGAACACAGAATTTCCTCAGAAGAAGGGGGCCAGTGACCCATCCATGCCAAGCCACCCAGCTTGGGAGGGAGGTGCTCTAAAACCCTGTCAGACTTTCAAAGCTCACTGTCAGTGATGGATTTCCAAGCCCCCTCTTTCTCCAGGCACTCACAGTGCAGTGAGTGGGTGCAGGTGGAGGTGTTGAGGCTCCCATTGGATTAATTTCATAGAATCACAGAATGGTTTATGTTGGAAAAGCCCTCTAAGGTCACCAAGTCCAACCATTCTCCCAGTGCTACCAAGGCCACCACTAAACCCTGTCCCCTAGCACCACCACATTCACACATCTTTTACAGGAGCCCCTCTGAGCCCGAAAAATCAAGAGCAGAGCTTCCTGTCCCACCAGCCGAGATTCAGGGGTTTGTGCACCCCACATCCAACACCTGAACCTGACTTTTAAACTCCTCTCCGTCGGCTACAGCTGGCAGCCTTCAGAGATGAGCAGGGGCTGTAATTGATTCGTCAGGGCTCCTGTTAATTGGGCTTTGCTCAATTGTTGTGATATATTTCGTTCCCGATTATTACGCTCTGGAGCCAAGGTTCCTTTAGGTAATTTACACTGTTGCCTACGTATGTGTAAAAAATTTATTGCACTCATGTTTTTAATTAAAATGCATGCGATAATACTAAAAGCAGAGAGGGAGAGGGAAGGAGGAGAACGCAGATTAAGTTTTTAATTGTTTTAATAGTGAGATTTGTTTCAGAGAGAACAGGGCATATTGGTTTCCTTGGAAACATTGGCGATGTATTAGCTGTATAAAATCTAGCATAAAAGATTTGAGAAAGTGAAGCCTTTAGGTTTTAACTGATGTTGTAACTCTTTTCATTTGGAAAATCAGATTCACACATGCTCCCTGGAGTCCTAAAATGGTGTCTTTTTTGTGTTTTCTCTTAAAACTTAGAATATGTAATTTCATAGATTATCAGAATCATTAGAAATCCAAAACTGCAATAACAACAAGGAAAAAATCCCTTCAACAATTCAATATCCCTGATTCATACGATTTAATTAGATGTGCTTGTAACTTCTCTTTGTGCCAAAAAGTACCAGGCTCAGGCAAGACTCCACGTGATTTGAGAAAAAAAGTGCAAAAAATTTGGCTTTTTAAAATGTTCCAGTAAAGCTAGAGATTATTGGTAATGGAGAGGGGGTGATGTTTTATATACATTCTGTGTTCAGTTGTTTTATTGTACATCACCTGGAAGCACAATATACACTGCACAGACATCTTCAAGCTCAGGGAATCACTGAGGCTGATGATGATGATCTGCCCTCACACAAAGTCTTCAAGGCCTCTATTTTTCCTGGCTTGTATTTTAGGAACAAGAGGACCCCCAGAGATTCTCATCCCCAGAAATGTCAGCATGTCAGGTTTGGGGTTGCAACACTCCAAGGCAGTACAGGAGGTCAAATGTACGTTTTAAGGGTCTTCTCATTTGAAATTAAAACATTTTCTCTTCATTCTCTTTGAAAAGCAGCTCTCAAATTATCAGTTTTGTCTCTTTGTGAGAGGCTTCAGCTCTCTGCAGCCGACTGGGACTGAAACAACCACTTTTAATATCTGTGATTCACCTCTGAGCCCAAACTGTGATGATACAGAGCATCTGGGGATCAAATACTGCAGAAACGCTCTCTTTGGAACAAAAGGGGGGAAAATAGACTGCAGATAAAGTACCAGATGTAGGATTTTGGACCATTGGAGAAGAGAATGGATGGCTTGGTTTTAGCATGTAAGACTAATCACTCAGTTGAAATCATTTCAGCAGCTGAGTAAATAGACTTATGGAAAAGACATTTATGGGAGCATTTGTGTTCCAGGATCCTCCCTCGTTCCTAGCCCTGCCGTTTGTTTGCTTTTCTGTCTCACTGCTGCGAAAGGCTCCACTCTCGCAGGTTTGGTGTGATGGCGTCAGCCGTGCCCGGTGCGAGCAGAGGGGCTGGGGCTGCGCGCCACGACGGGACAGGGCCCGACGGGACAGGGCCCTGATGGGACAGGGCCCCAGCGGGACAGGGCCCGACGGGACAGGGCTCGATGGGACAAGGGGGACCGATGGGACAGGGACTGATGGACAGGGCCCCGATGGGACAGGGCCCGACGGGACAGGGCCCCGATGGGACAGGGCCCGATGGGACAGGGCCCGATGGGACAGGGCCCGACGGGACAGGGCCCCAACCGGACAGGGACCGATGGGACAGGTCCCTGATGGGACAGGGCCAGCCCGGCTCGGGGCCATCGCACCCAGCTCCGGTCACCGCCAGCAGCGCCCACGGCTCGGGCAGCCCCGGCAGATGCACCGGAGGGTGCGAAATGAGTGGAACCTGAAGGAAAGCGGAGCTTAAGGGCACGGAGCAGGCAGCTCTGTGTAGGGAACGGGGGACTTCATGGTCCAGCCCTGTCTGTCTGTCTGTCCGTCTGTGCTGCCCGGTGGATGCAGACAAACCCTGCTGGTCCGTCTGTCCTGCTAGGCCTGAGCCCTGGCTATCTATCTAGCCCGGCCGATGCAGGCAGAGCCCCGGCTGTCTGCCCGTCCGTCCGTCCGTGTGGCCACGGCGGCTGTGCCCAGCTCGGGGCAGGGCACGGTCACCGCTCGACGCCCCGCAGAGGCGATGCCATCTGTCCCTGCCTGCTGCGCGTACGGGCGGCTGAGCCGGTTCATGACCGGGGCAGGAAGCGCTGGCAGCGCCGCGGGTGCCGCGGCACACCCAGGGCGCGCACAGCGGCAGCGCCGGGGGTCGGGCCGGCCCCGCCCGGCCGCGGTGGCTCGGGCGGCGCGGGGCCCGCGCTGTCCCTTTAAGGCGGCGGCGCGGGAAGGCGCGCGCTGCGCCTTTGTCGCGGCCCCGGGTCACGGCGCGGTCACGGCCCCGCCCCACGTGGCGCCGCCGCCCGCATGGCCGCCCGCCACGCCCCCTGCGCTGATTGGTCGCCTCGCGCCCCGCGGCAGCCGCCGTCACTTCTGATTGGCTGAGCCCGCGCGGCCTTTGCCGGCGGGGGCGGGGCAGCGCCTGCCCGTGACACCGGGGCCATCTGGGGCTGCCCCGCGGCCTCCGCGCCATTTAAAGGGGCCGCGTCCCGCCCTGCCGGGCCAGGCGAGTTCGGTTCTGCGGGCACGGTCCCGCTGGGTTTCCATGCGAGACCGAGGGCGCATTCCTGGGGATACCCTTATGGTACCCCGCGAGTGATGGTGATGGCGGGAGGAGGGCTCGGGGCCGCCCTGTGCTGCCGCTGAATGGCGACTCAAGGCAGGGGCATCTTCAGAGCCTCCTCCTCCTCCTCTTCCTCCCGCCGTGGCAGGCGCGGAGGGGCTCCCGGGATGGCTCCGGAATGGGGCGGCGAGCGGGGCCTGCCCGGGGCGGCAGCTCCAGCCCAGCCCGGTGTGTCCGGGCAGGAACGCGCAGAGCAGAGCCCGGCTCTGAGCTCGCCTTTAACGCGAGAAACGAAAGCAGCAAAGCAGCAAATGTGTTGTGACAAACACGAGCTGTGCGTGTGCAGAGTTTGTGCAGTATTTGTGCAGGGGTGGGTGTACATGGGCATCAGACAGGGACAGTTCCAGCCATGAGCTCTCGCAGCTGCTCCGTTCCAGAGCTGCCTTCAGCATCACTCGGATCAGCCTGAAGTCTTCACCTGGCTGTGGCAGAGCTCAGGGTCACCTCTGTGTGCTTTTCAGAGTGCCATTCCCCTCTCCCA